CAGAGCACAGGATAAAGGCAGCAGACACATCATAGTTCATGTGTTGGGGAGGGCAATACAAGAAGGGTGAACAGGTAGAAGAACAAGGTAGACAGGGGAACAATAAGACAGGTTTGCATGGACTAGGAGGGTCAGAGGTAAATAGTGATGCATGCTTAACCGTGGAACAACAGGGCTCTGTGATACAGGGATCTACACATAGTTTGAAGAGGGGAAATAATACCAAGATGCTTGACTGTCTTAAGAATACTGGTTTCCTTGCCTACTGTTGTAAAATAGACACTTGAGTGGGATAGAAAGGAATATTAGGAAACATGAGTATAGATAACTTTTAAGCCTGTCTTCAGCCTATAACTGATTGGAATACCTAAAAGGAGTTCTAGAACTTGTCCAGTGAAACAGGCCTCTTGCGGAGCCTTTGCAGTGTATAGGACCTTAGGTGGAATCCTATGTCCCATCCTGAACCTTATGAGGTGGGACATTCCCACTAGAAAGGACAAGCAAACCAGCCTGATACAGCTAGACTGACAGAAGATGCATCTTCAGAGAAAGATCATCAGGAAAAAACAAAAACAAAAATGGCAGTATGACTGGCTACTACATGAATAAGCAAGCTGTTAACCGGGGAGCCATCAAGGCAAACAATCAAGTTCCTTCAGGACAAACCACCCTCTAAGACTGAAAGTCAAAGGGAACACATGAGCAGGCATGTAAGCTTGCTGATGACCACACTGGTCTACTGGTGAGTGGAAGAGGTAGAAAGGCGGCAATGAAGAAATGGGCTGAGTTCAACGATGGTCCATTGACTCCCGTTGACCTGGAGATGAGAGAGAGAAGAGGAAGTGCTGCTGATCCAAAGTGTGGTAAGACCTGGGGACATCTGAGCCCAAGGACGAGGACATAGCCACAGAGGGCTAGAGCTGAGAGTGCAGCATCCAGCTGATATGAAGTGAGGGGAGATGCACAAGAACACCCAAATGTGCAGTTAGTACCCATTTGATCTAGCCTCGATGGCTTAATAATCAGAACTCGTTTTAGAGGAAGATTTAAAAAATATATATATATTTTTTTGATAAAGGAAAATAAATTGCTACAATTTGATGAACCTGACCTATACTTATGGAGTTAGTAACTCTAAATACCAACAGAGAGGGAATGAGTCTTCACATCAAGTATCAATGCTATCCCT